GGATTACAGGTGCCTGCCACCACACCGGCTAATTTTTGTATTTTTAATAGAGACAGGGTTTCACCATGTTGGTCAGGCTGGTCTCGAACTCCTCACCTCGTGATCCATCCGCCTCGGCCTCCCAAAGTTCTGGGATTACAGGCATGAGCCACTGTGCCTGGCCTCAGAAAGATGTTAAAAAGAGGGTAAGTTAAAAAAAACTGTTGCAGGACAGGGTCTAGACTATGCTATCTATAGATTCTAAAGAAGGAAAATAAAAAGATTTCCTGCATATGAATAAAGGAATTCAGGAAGGACACTCAAGTACCAGCAACCATGAAGAGAATAGGGGAATGGGGTAGAATTCCTCACTGAGTACAATTTTACTTGTGTCGGGGGGAGAGGTAGGGTCTCACTCTGTCACCCAGGAGGGAGTGCAGTGGCACAATCACAGCTCACTGCAGCCTTGAACTCCTGGGTTCAAGGGATCCTCCCATCTCAGCCTCCCAGGTAGCCAGGACTACAGGTGCACATCATCAGCTCAACGAAATGTTTTTTTTGAGACAAAGTCTCACTCTGTTGCACAGGCTGGAGTATAATCCTGCAATCTCAGCTCACTGCAACCTCCGCCTCCCAAATTCAAGCAATTCTCCTGCCTCAGCCTCCCAAAGTGCTGGGATTACAGGTGTGTGCCACCACACCCTGCTAATTTTTGTGTTTTTAGTAGAGAGGGGTTTCATCTTTTTTTTTTTTTTTTTTTTTGAGACGGAGTTTCGCTCTTGTTACCCAGGCTGGAGTGCAATGGCACGATCTCGGCTCACCGCAACCTCCGCCTCCTGGGTTCAGGCAATTCTCCTGCCTCAGCCTCCTGAGTAGCTGGGATTACAGGCATGCGCCACCATGCCCAGCTAATTTTTTGTATTTTTAGTAGAGACGGGGTTTCACCATGTTGACCAGGATGGTCTCGATCTCTCGACCTTTTGATCCACCCGCCTCGGCCTCCCAAAGTGCTGGGATTACAGGCTTGAGCCACCGCGCCCGGCCCGAGAGGGGTTTCATCTTATTGGCCAAGCTGGTCTCGAACTTCTGACCTCAGGTGATCTGCCCGCCTCGGCATCCCAAAGTGCTAGGATTACATGTGTGAGCCACCATGCCCGGCCCCAACTAATTTTTTAATTTTTATGTTTTGCAGAGGCAGGGTCTGACTATGTTACCCAGGCTGGCCTCAAACTCCTGACCTCAAGCAATCCTCCCTGCTTTGGCCTCCCAAAGTGTTGGGATTACAGGCATGAGCCACCGAGCCCAGCCCATATTTTTATTTTTGGTGACATGGACTTAGTACATTCAAAGTAAGCGAATTACAGCAATTTTGAGCCTCTGAAAGTGTGTCCTACTTAGAAACCTACTGTGGCCTGCCTTCAGGCCATGCATCTAATAACCTTCAAAATCGAGTCTCTTGAAACAGGTCTGACCATTCTGCCCTTTGGGAAGCCCCCAGGTGCAAGGGAAACTAAGGCCATAGAATGGGCTTCCAACACACCCACTCCCGTTCTGTTCTGTTTCTCAGAAGCCTAAAAGTAGAATCCTAGCTCAGGGAAAATGCAGGGTGTCTCCATCCAGGAACAAACACCCGCTTGCTTGTGGGAGCCCAGGCTCCAGAGAGTTCAGAGCAGCTCATCCCATTAAAGGCACTGCACACACCGCTGGGGGCTTCAGGCGGACTCCAGCCTCCTGGTGTACAGTGGTTTATCATGAGCAGAACACGTTCTTACATGGGCCAGTGAGAGCCCTGGCCCAGCCCTCCACCGATGGCTCCTGCACCTCTGCCTCAGGAGACTTCAGATGCCTGGGGACAAACAGAAAAGCAGGCTCAGTCCTCGGACAAGGCCGGCTGGGTGTGCTAGAGAGCCAAGAGCCCAGGACAAGTTTCGACACGTGAGAGTTAAAAGTTGGGAGACACTGGGCGAGGTGGCTCATGCCTGTAATCTCAGCACATTGGGAGGCTGAGGCGGGAGGATCACAAGGTCAAGAGTTTCAGACCAGCCTAACCAACAGAGTGAAACCCTGTCTCTACTAAAAATACAACAATTAGCTGGGCGTGGTGGCACGCACCTGTAATCCCAGCTGCTCAGGAGGCTGAGGCAGGAGAATTGCTTGAACCCCGGAGGCAGAGATTGCAGTGAGCTGAGATCGTGCCACTACACTCAAGGCTGGTGACAGAGCAAGACTCCATCTCAAATAAATAAATAAACAGAAAGTTGGGGACAACTACCAGGGCAACTTCCCACCTCGGGGGGACAATCCTGAGGCAAGGCATGGCCTCCACAATCTCCCAGAGGGTCCCTAGAAGGACGAAATGCCAATTGCCCATAGCTGTAACTGGCTCATCAGCACCCCTTGATTGCTCTTTCTTGGCTCTCACCCAAATACCATCTATTGGTCTGCTTTAGCAGGAACCCAAACTACAATAGTATTCATAGGGTCCCGTCCTAAACTGTGGGCCATCAGCTGTCTCTCCAAACTCCAGCAGGAGAACCTCATCAAGTAAGATGTGAAGCAAAGGAAAAACACCTGGACTGGGAGTCGGAAGAATGAGGCTCTCCTCACATTCTGCTGTCATAATCTGTGCAGCCTGAGAACACTCTCCTAACATCTCCGAGCCTCTGCTTCTCAGCTGTAATACTGGGCGGGAAACGGTCCAGTTAAGCATGTTTTTATACTTGAAAAAACTTGGGTAAAATGTCTCCTTTTTTCTTTCTTTTTTTTTTTTTTTTTTGAGACAGGGTCTTGTTTGGTTACCCAGGCTGTAGTGCAGTGGTGCAATCTCAGCTCACTGCAACCTCTGCTTCCTGGGCTCAAGCCATTCTTCAGCCTCAGCCTCCCTAGTAGCTGGGACGGTAGGCATGCACCACCCTGCCTGGCTAATTTTTGTATTTTTTGTAGGGATGGGCTTTCGCCATGTTGCCTAGGCTGGTCTCAAACTGCTGAGCGCAAAGCAATCTGCCTGCCTCAGCTCTCCAAAGTACTGTGATTACAGGGGTGATCCACTGTGCCCGGCTCTTTTTTTTTTTTTTTTTTTTTCGAGACAGAGTCTCACTCTATCAGCCAGGTTGGAGTGCAAGGTGCGATTCTGGCTCACTGCAACCTCCAACTTCTGTGTTCAAGCAATTCTCCTGCCTCAGCCTCCCGAGTAGCTGGGACTATAGGCATGTGCCACCATGCCCAGCTAATTTTTGTGTTTTTAGTAGAGATGGGGTTTCACCATATTGGTCCAGCTGGTCTTGAACTCCTGACCTCATGATCCTCCTGCCTCGGCCTCCCAATGTGCTGGGCTTACAGGCATGAATCACTACGCCCGGCCTCCTTTGTTTAACATTCAAAATGAACTTCATTAGGCCGAGCACGGTGGCTCAAGCCTGTAACCCCAGCACTTTGGGAGGCCGAGGCAGGTGGATCACGAGGTCAAGAGATCGAGACCATCCTGGTCAACATGGTGAAACCCGTCTCGACTAAAAATACAAAAAATTAGCTGGGCATGGTGGCGCGTACCTGTAACCCAGCTACTCAGGAGGCTGAAGCAGGAGAATTGCCTGAACCCAGGAGGCGGAGGTTGCAGTGAGCCGAGAAAGCGCCATTGCACTCCAGCCTGGGTAACAAGAGTGAAACTCCGTCTCAAAAAAAAAATGAACTTCATTGACCTGAGGCCTATTTGCAGGCACAGGTGGGGGGAATTAAACTTAAATTGCATGCTAACTTATTGAGTAAAGGAATAGTAATGAGGAAATTGATACTGATTTCTAGCTACTACCATTTTGACATGGACTTGTTTGAAAAGTTGCAGCGTGGGGGGGCAATGAGCGCTCTACACTTCCATTCCTGAAATCAGGTCCCACGTGGCAGCATGAAGCTGGGTGGGCTGTAGCAAGCTTAGGGGCCACAGGGCCACAAGCACAAACCACTGAGACTTACAGAGGCATTATCACATGTCATTGTCACAACTCCAAAAGGTAGACCTGTTATTACCCCCATTTTTCAAATAAGGGAGCAGAGGCCAGGTGCGGTGCCTCATGCCTATAATCCCAGGACATTGGGAGGCCGAGGAGGGTGGATCACCTGAGATCAGGAGTTTGAGACCAGCCTGGCCAACATGATGAACCCCTGTCTCTACTAAAAATACAAAAAATTAGCCTGGCATGGTGGTGGGCACCTGTAATCCCAGCTACTCAGGAGACTGAGGCAGGAGAACTGTTTGAACCCGGGAGGCGGAGGTTGCAGTAAGCCGAGACCTTGTCATTGCACTCCAGCCTCGGCAATAAGAGGGAAACTCCATCTCAAAAAGAAACAGCTGGCCTGCCATTGCATCTCAGAGCTTCCTTCCCAGGAGCAAGTCCCTCCATCAGCTTTTCCCTTTTCACTGTCGAAGCCGCCAGTGTCTGCATGGTATTCCATGGTGTACATACTACGCAGCCACAAAAAAGAATGAGACCATGTCCTTTGCAGGGACATGAATACAGCTGGAGGCCATTATCCTTAGCAAAGTAACTCCCAAAGAGAAAACCAAATACCGCATTTATAAGGGGAGCTAAATGATGAGAACACGTGGGCGCACAGAGGTGAACAGCACACACTGAGGTATATGGAAGGGTGGAGGAAGGGTAGAGGGAGACTCAGGAAAAATAACTAATGGGTACTAAGCTGAATCCCTGGGTGATGGAATAATCTGTACAACAGACCCCTGCGACATGAGTTTAACTAGATAACAAACCTGCACCTGTACCCCCGAACTTCAAGTAAAAATAAAAAAAAAAATAAAATAAAATCATGATCTTGGGGAAAAAAACAAAAAGAAGTCTCCCAACTGTAAAAGGCAACCAAGTGCTTACGGGAGACCCTTCCCCAACCCAGTCCCAATGTGGTGCCAGCTTTTCTCCCCAGCAGTGGGGTCAAGGCGCCTGTGGGCTTGGGGTCCGGTTTCCCACCTCCCCACAGGTAAGCAGTGAATGGGCAGCGCAGCCTGGGGAAAACAGAGACAACCTTTAATCAGGAAACCTCAGGGAGACAAACACCTGGCGCACGGTCCCAGTGAGTGTCCCAGCCGGACGCAACTCTTCCTCCAGGAGAACTTGGCAGCCCCGACCCTTCTCAAAAGATGAGCCAGCCACGAGGTCCACGGAGGATGCTGCCACTTCCTCCATTCTTACAGCACATTCCAAACACTCCTTGGGAACAAGGTCACATCCAGGCTTGGGGGCCTCCCATCCTCACCAGGACCCCTGCAGGAGGGAGCCCAGGCATCCCCACCAGGTTCACCCTTGGAGCCGCCCTGCACCCTCCCCGGGCCATGGGCAGTGTCCGCTCTCCAGAGTCTCCCAGACACAGTGACCTGCCTACACGGTGGACTCTTCCCCCTGAGAGGCCCCCACCGGGGGGTGCTGGGGGCCGGGGCAGGTGGTGGCTGCAAGGGCTGCAGAGAGTCTAGAGGCGGTGGGAGAAAGTGTGTGAGGCCTAATGAGGGTGAGGCGGGTCTTTGAGGGGCCAGGGGCCATCATGGAAAGTGCTGAAGCTTCCGTTAGGAGGGTGGCAGGCAGAGGAGGCCGCCCAGAGGCTGTCCTGGGCCCCAGAGGCTGCAAAGGAGCGCTCTGGAGTCACCGCAGGTAGCTGAGGAGCCCCTGGGGAGGCTAGAGGTAGAGTAGGGGCTCCTGGAGAGGTCAGAGGCCCTGGTGAGAATCGAGGGGAGGCCCCAGGGTCCCCTGGGAACATGCCCGACGGCCCCAATGGGGGTGAGAGTGGAGCATAAGCTCCTGCCGAGCTTCTAGGTAAAGTCTGTGTTTTTGACAAGTTGGTTCTTAAAAGGAGCCGGAGGAGATGGAGCGCCGGCCTGGAGGGAGATGCTGTCGGGGGCCCAGGGCAGGAGCTGCAGCTGGCAGGGGCCTCAGCGTCTCCAGGCACGCTCCGAGCAGCTTTGCCGAATGCCACCTTTCTGTGAGGGGAGAGCCCCTGCTTTTCTTCCAGAGGAGACAGGGAATCTAGAGAGAGGAGAGCGAAACAAGATGCATGGCGGTTCTCTCCAGTGGCTGAGGTACTCTGGGACAAGGTACTCTGGGGACACCCAAGCTCTGTCTTCAGAGGGGCCCCAGCACTACCTGGTGAGGACCGGCCAGCTCCTGCCTCTAGGAAGAGAAGACTGAAGGAGCAATGAACAGAGGGAGGCAGTTAGCTGTGTGACCTCACCTAAGGCATGCAACTCCCCTGGGCCTCTGTTTCCTCATCTGTAAAATGGGCACAGCAGTCAGGACTGAGTGTGAATGAAAGGGTGCATGGAGAGTCTCAGCCTAAACCTCAAGGTGAACTATAGACTTTGGATGTCAACGACATGTCAGTATCAGTGTAGGATCACCGATTATAACAAACATATCAGGCTGGTGTGGGGTGCTAACGGTGGGTGACACTGTGATGTGTGGAGTCTGAGGTATATGGGAACTCTCTGTACTTTCTGCTCAATTTTCCATGAGCCTCAGACTGTTGTAAAAAATAGTTTCTTTGAAGAATTTTTTTTTTAATTCTCAGGCTAGGGCTTGGCACATCATAAAGACTCAGTAATAAGGGGAAAGCAAACACAGATGCCCCTCGACTTATGATGGGGTCACATCCCAATAAACTTGTCAATCAAAAACACATTTTAGGCCGGGCACGGTGGCTCACGCCTGTAATCCCAGCACTTTGAGAGGCCGAGGTGGACAGATCATCTAAGGTCAGGAGTTCAAGACCAGCCTGGCCAACATGGTAAAATCCCGTCTCTACTAAAAACACAAAAAAAATTAGCTGGGTGTGGTGGCGCTTGCCTGTAGTCCCAGCTACTTGGGAGGCTGAGGCACGAGAATAGCTTGAACCCAGAGTGAGAGAGACGCCTCAAAAAAAAAAAAAAAAAAAGGAAATTCTGTCATTTGTAACATGGATGAAATTGGAGGACATCATTATGCTAAGCGAAATAAGCCAGACACACAAAGACAGCTACATGATCTCCGTTTGATGTGGAATCTAAAAAGGCTGAACCCAAAGATGCAGAGTAGCATCACGGCTACGGAGGCTAGCGGGGCCGAGGGGAATGGCTACAAAATCTCAGTTAGACATGAGGAGTATGTGTTGTGTTGTATTTTGTTTTGTTTTGTTTAGAGACAGTGTCTCTCTGTGGCCCAGGCTGAAGTGCAGTGTTCGCCAATTCTTGGGAATCAATCCAGTGTCCTATCTAAAAGCATCGACGCTAGGCTGAAGTCCCGGCTCTACCACCAATCAGCTATGTGATCTTGAGCACATCACTTCACCTCTCTGTGCCTCAGTGTCCTCGCCTGGCACAGGGGGATGACAGGATACTGCTGGGATGTAGACACATGAGGTGTCCCGACACGCAGTGGGTGCTCAGTAAATCACGTATTAGCGATTTACTCTTCTGCAAAACGGACATAGTTCCCACGTTGTAATTCAAAATAAAGAAGAAAGCAGAGGAAGAGATTAAGAAAGGAGATAAAGATAAAAGCCGGGCGCGGTGGCTTTCACCTGAAATCCCAGCACTTTGGGAGGCTGAGGCGGGCAGATCATGAGGTCAGGAGTTCAAAGCCAGCCTGGCCAACATGGTAAAACCCTGTCTCTACTAAAAATACAAAAATTAGCTGGGCATGGTGGCGTGCGCCTGTAGTCCCAGCTACTCAGGAGGCTGAGGCAGGAGAATTGCTTGAACCAGGGAGGCACAGGTTGCAGTGAGCCGAGCTCACGCCACTGCACTCCAGCCTGGGGAACAGAGTAAGACTCCATCTAAAAAAAGAAAAAAGAAAGAAAGGAGATAAAGATGAAAAAGGTAGTGCAAAGAAACAGACATCATGGTGTGTGGCATGGTGAGCACGGGACGAGGGTCAGCAGGCCACGGCACAGCCATGCAACCTTGAGCAAGCCACGTTGCCTCTCGGAGCCTGGCTTCCTCACATCCAGCCCTTTACAAGTTCCATGTATCTGGGAAGAAGAGCAAAATGGAAGAAGATGGCAGGAAACTCCAGGACCCAGAGATCCACTTACCTGGGCAGGAAGAGCAACATTCCCCAGGGAGCAGAGCAGGGTCTGTACAGGCCCGCTGGCAGGGAATCTTCTCGCAGCTCACCTCTCCCAGCTGGGAAAGCAGAAGGACCCCCATGAGGAAGCCCAGAGCATCTTGCCTGCCCAGGGCAGTACCCTCGAGGGCCTCTGGCACCAGCAGCAAGACCCACGGAAATATCCCAGAACAGAGGCTGCAGTGCCTGAGCCCTCGCCTGGAGAACAGGTAAAGCTAACTGTGGCCGGACCCTCTTAGGAAAACCGCTTCTCCCTCTGGACTTCCAGGGAGAGAAGAGATGGTCAAAACCAAAGGTATTCTGGCAGCTAATTAAAGGTGAAGAAGGGAAGGAGAATGGACTTATGCTGGCAAAGGGGCCCCATGTTCTGCCAAGGGATGAAAGGCAGGCCGCCCTCTGGCCAGTCTGCTTCTGAGTTCCCAGGCCCAGCTTACCTGGCATGTGCACCGGGTACAGGGCTCATCATCCAAGGTGAACACCTGGCCGTTCGCCACCTTCCTGCCCTCGTAGTTGCAGTCTGTGGAGGCAGAGGAGACAGGGGCTCCTGAGAGCCACGGCCTGGCCAGGAGCCTCGCACGTGGGGCGGCAGGTCCCACTCACCTCGGCACACGGGGCAGCACTCCCCATCAGGGTGGAAAGGGTAGGTACAGGTGATGGGGCAGTCCACGGGGGAACAGGCCACTGAGCCCAGCTGCAGGACACAGAAAACGCACAGGCCCTTGGTTCAGGGCAGCGGATGAGACACTCAGGAAGGCACTGCTCCTATAGCCACTGAGTGCCCATCAGAACGATCCACATTGTGGGAGGAGTCCATGGTGGGGCAGTGGGGCAGGGTGGGGGGCATTTTCTCTGTTGGGGTCCATCTTCCCACTAGAATTCAAGTCCTGCAAAGGTAAGACCATGGCCCTGTCCACGGAGGGCATCTGTTAACGGGTGCCTGTTGCATGGACTGCCCGGGAAAGATGAGAGATCCAGAGGTCAAAGTTCCCCAAAGCCCAAGGCTGAGAACTGGGGCCTATGTGCAGTGAGTCGCTCAGGGTCAGTAGCACAGGGCTGTTGTTGACAAGCACAGGGCTGTTTACCCCGAGTTTCTCAATCTCTCTGCAGACCGTGTCCCTTGCCACGTATGTACTCTGCTGAGGCTCACTGATCACCAAAGGAATGTCGCATCTGCACTCACACCAGCAAAGCAGCACGATCCCGCATTCAGAATGTCAGCAGGATAAGCATTAAGGATGTCTTTGCCGGGAGCGCTGGCTTAAACCTGTAATTCCAGCATTTTGGGAGGCTGAGGCAGGTGGATCACCTGAGGTCAGGAATTTGAAACCAACCTGGCCAACATGTCAAAACTCCGACTCTACTAAAAGTACAAAAATTAGCCGGGCATAGTGGCATGCACCTGTAATCCCAGCTACTCAGGAGGCTGAAGCAGGAGAATTCGCTGGAACCTGGGAGGGGGAGATTGCAGTGACCCAAGACTGTGCCACTGCACTCCAGCCTGGGCGACAAAACGAGACTCTGCCTCAAAAATAAAATAAAGCCGGGCGCGGTGGCTCAAGCCTGTAATCCCAGCACTTTGGGAGGCTGAGGCGGGTGGATCACAAGGTCGAGAGATCGAGACCAACCTGGTCAACATGGTGAAACCCCGTCTCTACTAAAAATACAAAACATTAGCTGGGCATGGTGGCGCATGCCTGTAATCCCAGCTACTCAGGAGGCTGAGGCAGGAGAATTGCCTGAACCCAGGAGGCGGAGGTTGCGGTGAGCCAAGATCACACCATTGCACTCCAGCCTGGGTAACAAGAGCGAAACTCCGTCTCAATAAATAAATAAATAAATAAATAAATAAATAAAATAAAAATTTTGTTTTCAGCTGGGCATAGTGGCTCACACCTGTAATCCAGCACTTTGGGAAGCTGAGGCAGAAGGATCACTTGAGGCCAGGAATTCGAGACCGGCCTAGGCAACAGCCCAAGATCCTGTCTAAATATTTTTTAATGTAAAAAAATTTTTAATATATTTTTTAAAAAGAAAAAAACACTTTTTGGCTGGGTGCAGTGGCTCATGCCTACAATCCCAACACATTGGGAGGCTGATATGGGAGGACTGCTTGAGCCCAGGAGGTCCAGACTAGCCTGAGCCATACAACAACACCCCATCTCTATGAAAAAAAATTTTAATTAGCCAGGTGTGGTGGTAGTCCCAGCTAGGTGTGATCCCACCTGCTTGGGAGGCTGACACAGGAGGATCACTTGAGCCCAGGAGGTCAAGGTTGCAGTGAGCCATGATCACGCCACTGCACTTCAACCTGGTGACAGAGCAACACCTGTCTCAAAAAAAAAAATTTTTGGTTTCCTTTTCCGAAAACTAAATGATACTATGCGACATATGTTTTCAGACTGAGAGGCAGTACAACCCAGGAGAATAAATGTGCATCTTGGAACCACAAAACGAGGATTCCAGTCTCAATACTGTGATTAACTAGTTATGGGATCTTGAGCAGACTGTCTCTCTGTGCCTTGCTTTTCTCATCTGGAAGAATAAGATGGTAAATTCTTGAAATGGATTAGCTGAGTGTGTGCCTATCAAGAGCCTGGCGTACAGCAAGAGCTTGACCACGCAGGTCTATTGAAAAGGTTCCAGCCAGGCGTGGTGGCTCAAGCCTGTAATCCCAGCACTTTGGGAGGCTGAGGCGGGTGGATCACGAGGTCAAGGGATCAAGACCATCCTGGTCAACATGGTGAAACCCCGTCTCTACTAAAAATACAAAAAAGTAGCTGGGCATGGTGTCACGTGCCTGTATTCCCAGCTACTCAGGAGGCTGAGGCAGGAGAATTGCTTGAACCCAGGAGGCGGAGGTTGTGGTGAGCCGAGATCGCGCCATTGCACTCCATCCTGGGTAACAAGAGCAAAACTCTGTCTCAAAAAAAAGAAAAAAAAAAAAAAAGGTTCCAGTACTGAGTCCTGGGTTTGTGTGCTTCACCTCCACCCTCATCATGAATCCCTGACTCTAGCCAGTAACCTGGAAGCAAAGGACTTTTGCCAGCCAGGGTTAAAAATGTTTCTCTGGGCTGGGCATAATCTCAGTACTTTGAGAGGCCAAGGTGGGCAGATCACCTGAAATCAGGAGTTCCAGACCAGCCTGGCCAACATGGTGAAACCCTGTGTCTACCAAAACTACAAAAATGAGTCAGGCATGGTGGTGCATGCCTGTAGTCCCAGCTACTCGGGAGGCTGACACAGGAGAATCGCTTGAACCTGGGAGGCAGAGGTTGCAGTGAGCCGAGTTTGCACCACTGCACTCCAACCTGGGAGCCTGCTTGACAGAGCGAGATACCATCTCAAAACACAACAAAAAGTTTCTCTGGCCCTGTCTAAAGGGTCACCCTGGGCAGGGCTGGAGGGAGCTGACTTCCACCATGAACCAAGCAACCCTTCTCTTGGAGGTCTCTGGATTTTGCCTCTAGGATTCAAGAGCCGATGTCAGTTGCTGGGTAGTTTCCAGAGGCGGGGGTCAGATTTGGCGATCCATACCAGGCAAATGCAGCTCAGACATGGGTCCAGCACAGACGGGAAGGTCTCGTTGTTATAGAAGATTCTGCCTGTGTAAGTGCAGCCTGCCAGAGAGAGCACGCACTGATCACCAGCTGGGAGGGGCCGGGGACCAGGCTCCAGGCCAGGGCCAAGGTCAGAGGCTTATCTGGATAGCAAAGGGGAGGCCGTGTGCGTCCCCAGGCAGTCACCCTGGGACTTAGGGAAGGGACAAAATGCCTGTGTGGATTGCCTGAATTGGGTATTGACTTTTTCCCACTGGATTCAGCAGAAGGATCAGTGTCTTGGCCTCAGTGTTCTCACCCCGGAGAGTTGGGAGATTCCTCCTATGCCTCCTCACCAGGGGGGATCAGGTGGAAGGACTGGAAATACGAGGTGTGTGTGAGGCCCACAGCATCTCCCCAACCTCCTCTCTGCCCTCCAAACTCAGTCAAACCACAAACCCCGCCCGTCCAGAACATTCCCCAACACCACTCCCCTCTCTCATTCCTGACAGCCGCAGAAGCCTGATCTGAGTCATGTCACCTTGGATGATATGATCACATACTGGTGAATGTAAAAGCAGATGATGAGACAGTAGGAGAAGCTTTTATAAAATATATATATATAATGTACATCTGCTAAATGTTGTGTGTGAGCACCATGAAAAGAGGCTAGAAGGACATCAACACAAAGTTAACAGTGGTGATAGGTCCTTCTTCACATTTTTTATTTTTGCTTCCTGTATTTTTTTTCTAAGTTTTCTCTAATGGAGCTGAGCGTGGTGGCTCACACCTATAATCCCAGCACCTTGGGAGGCCAAAGCAGGCGGATTGCCTGAGGCCAGGAGTTTGAGACCAACATGGCCAATATGGTGAAACCCCATCTCTACTAAAAACACAAAAATCAGCTAGACGTGGTGGCGCACACCTATGGTTCCAGCTACTCAGGAGGCTGAGGCAGGAGAATCGCTTGAACCCGGGAGGTGGAGGTTGCAGTGAGCTGAGATCCCACCACTGCATACCAGCCTGGGCAACGGAGCAAGATTCTGTCTCAACAAAAATAAACAAATAAAATAAAATAAATTTTCTGGCTGGACACAGTGGCTCATGCCTGTAATCCCAGAACTTCGGGAGGCCAAGGCGAACAGATCATGAGGTCAAGAGATCGAGAGCATCCTGGACAACATGGTGAAATCCCGTCTTTACTAAAAAATACAAAAATTAGCTGGGCGTGGTGGCGCGTGCCTGTAATCCCAGCTACTTGGGAGGCTGAGGCAGGAGAATTGCTTGAACACAGGAGGCGGAGGTTGCAGTGAGCCGAGATCACGCCACTGCACTCCAGCCTGGCAATAGAGCAAGAACCGGTCTCAGAAAATTTTTTTTTCTGTAATAAAACATTACTTTTGACATCATGGAAAAGGCAAAAATGACTCTTAAAACTTCTTTCCTCTTGCTATTCTCCCGTTGTCTCACAGGTACCGCTCCCATACCGCCCACCTGCACTGTAAGCCCCGTGCATCTTCATAGCTGCCTCGAGCACTCAGAGGGGCTCTGACTTGGGCAAACTGTTCCACCTCAGTTTCCTTATCTGTGCAATGGGGCTGTCCCTTGGGCTTGTTAGGACGACGTGAGATGAAGCTTGTATGGGGCTTAGTGCAGAGGAGCCCGGTGCAGGGTGAACCTGGAGGTGGTACCCGCTGAGAGTCCCTGTCCTGGGGCTTGGGGGGCGGAGGCAGGGGGTTACCTGCTGAGCAATCCGGGCAGCACTGTCCGGGGATCCGGATCGGGTGAGGACAGGAGTCCACACAGTCTGTCCTCTTGCAGCTCACCGAGCCATCTGCCTGGAGGAAGGAGGAACTTCACCAAGACCCCACCGGTGACACCAGCCCCTGCCTCCCAGCTCTGCAAAAGAAACGGCAACGCTGCAACCCGGCCAAGGCTTGCCCTGAAAGCACCGTGATGCCGCTGGGAGTGGGCGTGTCCCCCTAAGAGGACCGGCTACTTGGGAAAGGCCATGTGGGCCTTCCAGGAAGGCTCTGCATCTTTAAGAAGGAAGGTCAGAGCTGGGATTCTGGTCTCCTCGCTTCCTCTCCCTCTCCTGCAGCGGCCAAAGGCTGCACCGTCATCCTCATCCAAATCCTTTCTCAGCTTTTCCCTGGAACCCTGGCTCACCAGGAACCAACCTGCAGAGTACCATAAAACCTTATTTTTAGAAAAAAACCATGCCACCAGAAATGTCTGTTTCAGACAGCCAAAGTGCCATATAAGGTTTCTTTTTTCTTTCTTTCTTTTTTCTTTTTTTTTTTTTTTTTTTTGAGACAGAGTCTTACTCTATTGCCCAGGCTGAAGTGCAATGGCACAATCTTACAATCTTGGCTCACTGCCACCTCTACCTCCCAGGTTCAAGTGATTCTCCTGCCTCAGCCTCCCAAGTAGCTGGGATTACAGGCATACGCCATATGCCTGGCTAATCTTTGTATTTTTAGTAGAGACGGGGTTTCACCATGTTGGTCAGGCTGGTCTTGAACTCCTGACCTCAGATGATCCACCCACTTCAGCCTCCCAAAGTGCTGGGATTACTGGTGTGAGGCACTGCGCCCGGCCCATTTTTCTTAAAAAAAAAAAAAAAAAAAAAAAAAAAAAAAAATCTGCCAGTTTGAACCTTTTGTATTACTCTCTTAATATCAGTCATAAAGGAGAAGACAGCACAGAACAGACTTTCCTCAAACTCTAATTCCAATGAGGCATGTTCAGCATACAGCTTTTTTTTTTTTAAGACGGGATTTCACTATGTTGGTCGGGTTGGTCTTGAACTCCCGACCTCAGGTGATCCGCCCACCTTGGCCTCCAAAGTGCTTGGATTACAGGCGTGAGCCACCATGCCCAGCCAGGATACAGCTTTTTAACAAACGGCTCATCAAAGGCACTAGAAGGCTGGGCTCCTCCCCCATGAAAGCGCACATAAATCACCCGGAGGTTAAAATGCAGTTTGTGAGAGCAGAGGTGTGGGGAGGCCCACGCCCAACCAGGGCTCCCAGCGCAGGTGCAAGGGACCTCATTTTGAGAACTAAACCTCTAAAAGACTCGAAGCTCTTAAAGTAGAAAGGAAAGTCAGCATGTATTACATTGGTGCAAAAGTAATTGCGGTTTTGGCCATTATTTATTTAGTATTTATAATGGCACAAACTGCAATTACTAATACTTAAATAATGAGCTAAAACAATTGTTTTTCTGGGTTGATAGTTGGGTTCGCATTGTTTTCAATCTGACCCTCAAACTCATGCACCTCCTTATCCACTTCTAAAACTGAGGTCATAGGATTCACAGTCATGAAGAAAATGTTGCAATTTCACAGAAACAGCGTGAACAACTAGGTCTTAGGCTGCCCCACTCCCTCAGTTATCCATGCCAGGGAAAATCCTTCTATGAAGATTCCTAATTCTTCCTCCTCATGCCAGCAGCTCTCTGCACATCCTGTAACAGTTTGTTACACACGAATACATATATATATACTTTGAAACAGGGCCTTGCTCTGTGGCCCAGGCTGGAGTGCAGTGATGTGATCACAGCTTACTGCAGCCTCCTGGGTTCAAGCAATCCTCCCACCTCAGCCTCCCAAATAGCTGGGACCATAGTGACATGCCACTACACATAGCTAATTTTTGTGGGGTTTTTTTTGTTTTTTTTTTAGAGAGAGGGTCTCACTATGTTGCCCAGGATGGTCTCAAATTCCTGAGCTCAAGCAATCCTCTCACCTCAGCCTCCCAAAGTGTTGGGGTTATAGGCATGAGCCATTATATTGCTTGGCCATACACACTTCTTTTTCTTTCTTTCTTTTTTTTTTTTTTTTTTTTTTTGAGATGGAGTCTGGCTGTGTCACCTAGGCTGGAGTGCAGTGGCACGATCTCAGCTCAGTGCAACCTCTGCCTCCTGAGTTCAAGCAATTCTCCTGCCTCAGCCTCCTGAGTAGCTGGAATTACAGGCATCCACCACCATACCTGGCTAATTTTTGTATTTTTAGTAGAGACAGGGTTTCACCACATTAGTCAGGCTGGTCTCGAACTCCTGACCTCATGATCCACCCCCCCTTGGCCTCCCAAAGTGTTGGGATTATCGGTGTTAGCCAACACACCCGGCCCTATATACACTTCTTAAGGCCAATTGCCAAGCTCCATCGTCCTCACACCTCTAGTGAGGACAGGATAAACTGGGTCCAACCCTTTCTGTGAAAGTGGAACTTGACAGCACCGGAGGGAGCCTGAGGCCAGGACGCTTGTCTCCTCTGGGTGAGGCAGGGCAGCCGGGTAAAGCAGCTGAAGGCGAGCAGGTTGTCATTCACCTGGCAGATGCATAACTCACAGGGGTCACCAGGTGACCAGATCTGTCCAATCGGAAACTCAACCCCGTTGTCATCGAGAGAGCAGCCTGGACGAGGACAGTGGCAGAGAAGAGACAGTGGGCACAAGACCCAGACTACAACGGCAGCAAAGACGGATGCCTCACGCAAACGGTCACACGCAGACACGGATATAACTCACACAAACAGACATGCAAACTTACACACACTCATACAAATGCACAAATACACACACACAAATACAACTCACACACAGAGACACAAACATACACTCATACAAATGCACACCCACATACACATGCACAGATACCATTCATGCACACACAGAAATACACATACAAATGCACATTTACACACAAAAACAGATACAACACAGAGACACACATTCACTCATACAAATGCACTTACATATGCATGCTCACACAGACACACACACAGGTATTACTCACACAGAGACAGAGAGACACACATAAACTTAGGCACACACAGACACACTCATAGAATCATACACTTACACATATACAGACACAACATACACAACATGCATGCTCACACAGGCACACACAAAAACACAGACACATACACACAAACATACACACCACAGAGACACACTCAGATATATTACACAAAACAGACACATGCTCATACACAAACACAAAGACTCATGTGCACAGACTCCCACACACAGATACCACTAACACACTGACACACATAGATGACTACTCACAAACATAGAAACACCCAAACACACCTGTGTTTTTGGGTGTACACACACACCCATACACAGGCAGACACATGTATATACACAGACTTACACACATTCATACAAATGCACACATACATGCTCACACACACTACTCACACACAGACACACACACTCATGCAGACACTCATACAAACATATACTTACATGCACACACAAACACACACATATGCAGACACAACAGACATAAACATGTATGTTCACACAGGCACACACAAAAACAGACACACACACACCCCCAAAGAGAGACACATAGACATACCACACAAAAACACAGACACACACTTGTACACAGGCAAAGACACAGGTACACACACAAACTTACATTCATACAAATGCACACATACACATACATACTCACACAGACACACACATACTACTCACACACACAGAGACCCACAAACTTACACTCAGACACATACATACACTTACATATGCAGACACACATATGCAGACAGAACAAACATAAACCTGCATGCTTACATAGGCATACACAAAAATGCAGACACATAGACACACACACACACACACACACACACACACTACCCACAGAGACATATAGACATACTACACAAAACAGACACACACTCATATACACAAACACAAAGACACACATACACAGACTCCCACACACAGGTACCACTAACACACTGACACACACAGATAAACACGCACAAACTCAGAGACACACAAACTTACACACACAGGCACACACTCAGACACACTACACAAAACACACACACACTCATACAAGTACAGAAAGACACATGTACACACACACAGACAACACACACATCAGCAGTCTCAGCAGCTGAGGCTCAGCTCTCTCCCCAGCATCCATGCCCTTTGTGGGGGCAGCCAGGGGCCAGCTCACCTGTCACGGGCGTGGGCTCCTGGCAGGTGAAGCAGCACTGCCCAGGGCCCAGCCGCCACTCTTCTCGGGGACAGGCCAGCTCAGGGCAGGGCATGAAGGAGCACTCCACCTCTCCATTCTGGAAGAGAGCCAAGGCACAGAATGATGAGGGCAGCGCCCTGGCCCGGGGCCATGGAGGGCTAGAGGAAGCTGGTGGGCTGCCATCACCTTCCCCTCTACTTAAGGGAAACTGACAGATCTCCAGAGAGCACTACAGGGAGGTGGGGGGAACCGGGAGGGAGTCCTTCAGTAGGGGCCGGGTGTGAGCCCAGCAGGGCATCCTGGAAATGGGCACGGCCTCCACCAGCTCTCACCCTCCTGCTTCCATCCAGGTTGCCTACTGCCTTCACTCGCTCCTCCAATCGACTCTTGCTCCACAGCCAGAGAACTTTCTCCAGCACAATCTGATTGCATCCCTCCAGGCATAAAACCATTTGGCAGCTCCACTGAATGCAAAGCCCTCAAGCACAACTGGCAGAGTCCTTCAGGACTGAGTCCGGGCAGAGGCTATCAGTGCCCACCCAGGTCGCATCCCCGAAGTACCGCCCGTGGCTGACAGCAGCTGCATCCTCCAGAGAGATGCCTGGATGGTCAACGCCCCCACTCCCTGGAGAGCAGAGTCTATAACTGACTGGCACTGGGAGCAAGGCTCTTGCACTGTCCACTGTCCAGAGCTCCCCAAGGATCAGGGTGAGGCCACGCCTTCACCCTGCTTCCTCTCCGGCCCCATCCTGCTTCCCTTACTGGTTCCTCCTGAGAGCACTCCTTTGGAAGGTCGCCTGCTCGGGCCCTGGTTCTAGGCAACACAAGCCAAGATGCAACAGCTACCTGCAGCCTGCCTGACTCTCTGTGTGCTCCAGCCAGAATGGCCATCTCCAGTTCACCCCCCTCTGCTGGGCACAGCAACCTCAGCTCCACGCCTGGTGAGTCCCCGCCACCCTCCAAGTCTCTACTTAACATCCCACCTTTCAAAAAGGCATCAGGAGCCCTGGGTACCTGGCCATCACCCACCTAGGCTGTGGGCTTCCAGACCAAGGGAACTGGGGCTTCCTTGTGCTTAGCTGTGTCCCCAGCACACAGTAGGTGCTCTGTAAATATCGGTGCTGAAAGATGAACTTCAAAGAGACTGTGGGAAGAGCTGGGGGATCCCTGTAGTGCTTCTGCTGCCTCAGTTTCCCTGTTGCTGCGTGGAAGCTCATCTTCTCCTAGTCAAGTCAACCTGAGTAAAGTGTTGCGTCTCCCTCCCCTCCCCATCAATTCCACAGGCTTCGGGACTCTCGGCCACCATACCTGGCAGACACAGGTGGTACACTCGTCACCACCCCCACTGAACACGGCCCCATCCTCGTACCACCGGCCATGGAAATAGCATCTCACTGCAGAGGAGAAAGGGAGAAGCAGCTCAAGGTTGTTGAGCAGGGGCAACTAAAGAAAAGGGGGAACAAATGGCTGGGAAGCCCCAGGGCACCTAATACCCACCCACAACACTCTACATCTTGCTCTGTGCCCAGGAACCCAAAGCACTTCTCCCCCTCCAAACCCCAGACACAAAACAAGTCAGGCTGACAAAGGGTTGGGTTGGGGTTCACACCTATAATCCCAACACTCTGGGAGGATGAGGCGGGACAATCTCTTGCATCCAGGAGTTCAAGACCAGTCTAGTCAACATAGCAAGACCCCCATCTCTACAAAAACTTTAAAAAATGAGCTGAGTGCAGCAGTGTGTGCCTGTAGTCCTAGCTAATTAGGAGGCTGAGGCAGGAGGATGGCTTGAAACCAGGGCTTGAGGGTACAGTGATTGCACCACTGTACTCCAGCCTGGGCGACAGAGCAAGGGCACATCTCAACAACAGCAAAAAAATCTGACAAGGATTGAATTACATGTAAGATGAGGTCCTTAACCAAAGAGGCAGGGGAAGCCCTAAATAGCAAAAGAGCAAAAGAATAAAAGAAAATAAAAAGAGACTATCTCAGACACCTAAGACAAAGGTGCCACCTGAGACAAATGATGCCACCAGGCCCACCTGCCGTTAGTCAGACTGCCCTGGGCTCAAATCCTAGCTATGAAACTCACCAGGGAAGGACTTTGGGCAAGACACTTAAAGCTCTCTAAGCCTCGGTTTTCTCATCTGTACAAAGGGGCTGACAAGGGTTCCTACCTCATAAGACTGCATTGACTATGCAAAAACAATTCAATTAAAAATAATATAACACCTAAACATTAAGAAAAAAAATACTTAAAAAGAACACCAGCCTTGAAGTCAGGTAGACTTGTGTTCAAGTTCTGCTCTATTACTTAATGGTTGCGTGTCTCTAGGCAGTGACTTGAACTTTCCAAGCCTCAGTTTTCCCATCTATAAAATGGGGCAACGAAAAGTACTGCCTTAGAGTGGGGACATAAGGATTCCATGAGATGGAGTTCCGGCAAGTACCCCACACAGCAAGGGGCGCAGGGTCAGCAGGGAACATCCATGTCAGTGATGAAGCCATCCCAGGAAAGAAAACCTTGTTTATAACAAAGGACCTTAGTGGTTAAGGCGAGGCCCTTTCCTGCCCTGGGACAGAGCAATGACAAGCATGGCCTGAAACCCTGTCCTGCCTGAGCTGAAGATGCTGAAGTCAGGGGAAAGTTGCGTTGTGAGAACAGTCTAGCATCAAACTGCTGTGCACATAAGAAGTGCTCAATAAAAACAGGCAATTTGAAATGCTTCACTTGATCTGAGTTTGTAAAGCAGAAACCCATCCCCTCCCTCACTCCTGCACTCACCCCGCCCAATTGCATACTCAAAAGACGTCCTCCTCTGCACTCGCAAAGAAGCAAAATGTAAAATCGGGCTTGGGGGTTCATGCATGTCATCCCAGCACTTTGGGAGGCCACTACAGGTGGATCACCTGAGGTCGGAGTTCCAGACCAGCCTGGCCGACATCGTGAAACCCCGTCTCTACTAAAAACACAAAAATTAGCTGGGGGTGGCAGCAGGCACCTGTAATCCCAGCTACTCTGGAAGCTGAGGCAGGAGAATCACTTGAACCTGGGAGGTGGAGGTTGCAGTGAGCTGAGATCATGTTATTGCACTCCAGCCCCTGGGTGAGAGAGCGAGACTCTCTCTCAAAAAAGAAAAGAAAAAAAAGAAGCAAAGGGCAAAACTGGGCTTGGGGGCTCACATCCATCATCCCAGCACTTTGAAAGGGTAAGGCAGGAGGAGCACCTGAGGCCAGGAGTTCAAGACCCTCCTGGGCAACATATCGAGGTCTACAAAAATTTGCAAAAAAAAAAAAAAAAAAGCAAAATGCTCCAAGAGCGTCACTTACCTGGAACACAAGTACAGCAATCCGACTGTGGGGAGGTCTGACAGGGGCCAGGGTGACACTCGGGAGAGATGCAGGACACGTTTCCAGCCTGAGGAGGCAAGAGATGGCACTGGGGGCACAGGGGTGGAACAGGGCTCATTCCCCATCTCACAGCAGGCCCTGCGAACAGGAAAGCTGCCTACCGGAGGCCACGAGAAACCTTTACATGCTGCTGTGTCACAGGGACACATTTCTGGTGTTTATGATGCTGCTATGGTTTGGCTGTGTCCCCACACAAATCTCATCATGAACTGTAGCTCCCATAATTCTCACGAATTGGATTGAATAATGGGAGCAGTTTTCCCCATACTGTTCTCGTGGTAGGGAATAAGTCTGACGAGGCCTGATGGTTTTATAAGGAGTTTCCCCTTTCACTTGGCTCTCATTCGCTCTTGCCTGCCGCCATGTAAGACGTACCTTTCACCTTCTGCCATGATTGTGAGGCCTCCTCAGCCACGTGGAACCGAGAGTTCATTAAACTTCTTTTGCTTTGTAAATTACCCAGTCTCAGGTATGTCTTTATTCTCACACAGTGTGAAAATGGACTAATATGTATGGTGTGGCTAGAACACCTCAGGTGCCTAAGACACTGCTCCAGGAAAAAGGCCAGGGCCGCCCAGGAGGCAGAGCATGCTCTCTTCCTTATGCAAACGTGCCTGGGAGCTCTGGAAGGTGCTGGGGAGCAGAGAACAGAGCTGACTCCTACAGGGAAGGAGACCCCCACGCACTTTCCCGTGCATCTGAGTTTTGAATCAGGTTGTTGGCTAGCCAAAGAATTAAATTTCAAAATAAATGTTTTAAATTTGACATTGAGACCAAAGAGACCCCAGTTATGGAGTCGGCCAGACCTGAGTTCCAGCATCTGCTCCTCCCCTATCAAGACTTCAGCCAAGTACATCACATCTCTGAGCCCCAGTCTCCCCATCTAAGAAACAGGCTGGAGCTGGCGAATCTCTCAGGGGTTACCAAGGATTACATGCAATGAGATCATTCATGAAAGCGCATGGGGCTGTGTGTGGCGGTGCACACCTGTAATCCCGGCACTTTGGGAGGCCGAGGCAAGAGAATTGCTTGAGCCCAGGAGTTTGAGACCAGCCTGGGCAACATAGGGAGACCCTGACTCTACAAAAAATAATTAGCTAGGGTGGTGGCATGTGCCTTTCGTCCCAGCTACTTGGGTGGCTGAGGTGGGAAGATTGCTACTCAGTCAGGGGTGGGGGAGGAAAGGGGACAAAAGGGAGAAAAGAAAAAAAAAAGCAAGGAAGGAGGGAGGGCTGGAGGGATAGAGGGAGGGAGGGAGAGAGGGAAGGAGAGAGGGAGAGAGGGAGGGAGGGAAGAAGGAAGGAAGGAAGGAAAGGAGGGAAGGAGGGAGAGAGGGAGGGGAGAGAGAGAGAAGGAAAGGAAAAGGAAAGGAGGCCGGGCGCGGTGGCTCAAGCCTGTAATCCCAGCACTTTGGGAGGCCGAGGCGGGTGGATCACGAGGTCGGGAGATCGAGACCATCCTGGTCAACATGGTGAAACCCCGTCTCTACTAAAAATACAAAAAATTAGCTGGGCATGGTGGCGCGTGCCTGTAATCCCAGCCACTCAGGAGGCTGAGGCAGGAGAATTGCCTGAACCCAGGAGGCGGAGGTTGCAGTGAGCCGAGATCGCGCCATTGCACTCCAGCCTGGGTAACAAGAGCAAAACTCCGTCTCAAATTAAAAAAAAAAAAAAAAAAAAAAGGAAAGGAAAAGGAAAAGGGAGAGAAAGAAAGGAGGGAGGGAGGGAGGGAATCTGGCTGCTGTGCTTCCATGTAGCACAGGAAGAGTTCAATAAAGGGTTCTGGTGGCTGTCTGCATGCCCTGATTTCACACTGCAGCTTCCACCTTTGATGCCAGAGCAAGAGACATTTAAAGATGGTCATGACCAGGTGCAGTGGCTCATTCCTGTAATCCCAGCATTTTGGGAGGCCAGGGTGGAAGGATCGCTTGAGCCCGGAATTTGAGACCAGCCTAGGCAACACAGCCAGACCTTATCTCTTAAAAAAAAAAAAAATACAAAAATTAGCTGGGTGTAATGGCATGCGCCTGTGGGAAGATTGCTTGAGCCCAGGAATTCAAGGCTACAGTGAGCTATAATTGCACCACTGTACTCCAGCCTGGGCGACAGAGCAACACCCTGTCTCTAAAATGAAAAATAAAGATGGTCAGAGGGTAGCAGTGAGGGCTAGTGGACAGAGCCTTGACTTTGGGCTCAGACAGACCTCAAATCCCAACTCTGCCACCTCCCAGGCTCTGTCTTTTCATCTGCAAAATAGGGGCAGTAAAGCTGACCCCAAGGAGCTGCTGGGAGCCTCAGCAAGGAAAGAGATGAGAAGCAGCAACCCCTGGGCCTGGCGCTCAGTAGGTGCTACCAATCAAATACATGGGACAGCATCTGGCAGGGTGGGCACACAATAGGTGCTTCATAACTATTCTTGGAGGAGTGAATTTGCCCAAAGTCAAACACTTTTAACAAGCTGAGTTTGGTAATGAGCCTTCTTCCTCTCAAATGTGGAGACCTTCATTGTGCTGGCAAATATTTTGCCTGGAGAGAAAAACAGCCTCCCTGGTGGGAAGTTTCTGAGGAGTTTCATCCCCTCCCCTTCCTACACAGATGGACCCTGTGTGCTGGCTGGTTGCCTTCTGCGGATCAGAAGCCTTCCGGACTCCACCAACCTTGTGTTGTATAATTCCCAACCCCTTTTAAATTCTACAGCTTCTGACCAAATTCCACAACCTGAAAACGTTCCCTTCCACTCAGCAACTTACCTTTAACATCTGATCTTTTCTGCTCCCTCTAAAACTCCCAAAAGTTAAGAAAACACCCAGGAGGCTTTGAGGATCTTGTGATGCTTACCAGACAGACACACACGGTGCAGTTCTCGTTGGGAGGTGAAAACACGTCCCCTTCAGCTCGGATGACACCTCTGTGAAAACAGCCTTTGAAAGACAAATAGGAGGTAGAGGCATCAGAGGGAGCTTGAGGTCTCACTGCTTCTCCAGGCTTAATGTACCTGGAACGTTCTCTCACTGCCCTGGGTGCGCCAGGAGTGGCAGATTCGGGGTACTCTGACTGTGTGGTCCTGCAAGAACCAGCCGTGGTGGCCCCAGGAGGATCCATTCATGTCTCACAAACCCACAACTGTCTGGAGGGCATAGCATTTTACTCCCAGAGGGCAGGAAAGGGCTCAAAACATGGCCTGCCAGCTCAGTTTACCAGAGTGGCCCTGGACATGTCACTTCACCTCTCTGGTACACAGCCATCTTCACTGCAAAATGGAAACACCACCACGTACCCTGCAGGGAACTTGGAAGGATCCAAAACCTCAGCAATAAAGTCCCCAATTCTTTGCACTTCACCTTTTCACAGGTCACCTCCCCATCCTAGAAGCACAAGTCCTACAAGGACTCAGCATGTAGCGGGGACATAGCCCACAATAGTCATTAAGAAAATTAGGCCAGGCACGGCGGCTCATGCCTGTAATCCCAGCACTTCGGGAAGCTAAAGAGGGTGGATTACTTGAGGTCAGAAGTTCGAGACCAGACTGGCCAACATGGCGAAACCCCATTGCTAGTAAAAAAAAAAAAAAAAAAAAAATAGCAGGCGCCTATAATCCCAGCTATGAGGGAGGATTCCTTGAACTCGGGAGGCAGAGGTTGCAGTGAGCCGAGATCACACCACTGCACTCCAGCCTGGGTGACAGAGCAAGACTTCACCAAAAACACCAAAAACAAACAAAAACAAACAAAAAAAGCAGTGCATTTGCATTTTAACTCTTAGGAAGACTTTTTAACTGCTGGTCACTATCCAACAACCTCCGTGTCATATCACCAAGAGCGCCAGACAAAGAATCCCCTCCCAGAACGACTGAATGAGAATCCGCTTTTTTTTTTTTTTTTTTTTTTTTTGAGACAGGGTCTCACTCTGTCACCCAGGCTGGAGTGCAGTGGCACAATTATGGCTCACTGCAGCCTCGACCTCCTGGGCTCAGGTGATCCTCCCACCTCAGTCTCCCAGGCAGGTGAGATTACAGGTACATACCACCATACCTGGCTAATTTTTTGTAGACACAGGGCCTCCCTATATTGTCCAAGCTAGTCTCAAACACCTGGGCTCAAGTGATCCACCCACCTCGTTCTCCCAAAGTGCTGGAATTACCGGCTTGAGCCAGCATGCCCAGCCAAGAATCTGCATTTTAATAAGAGTCCCCTTGAGTCCCCTTGATTCAAGTGCAGAGCAAGTTTCGAGAAGCTCCGGCAGGAACTGTGAAGAATTTGGGTCTCTATCCTTCCAGCAATAGGAAGCAAATGAAAACCTGTCAGCAGATAGGAAGGAGTCAAAAAGGGGACAGAATTTAGAAAGAATGGGGCTGGGTGCAGTGGCTCACACCTGTAATCCCAGCACTTTGGAAAGCTGAGGCAAGTAAATCATGAAGTCAAGAGATCGAGACCATCCTGGCCAACATGGTGAAACCCTGTCTCTACTAAAAGTACAAAAATTAGCTGGGCATGGTGACACACACCCGTAGTCCCAGCTACTCAAGAGGCTGAAGCAGGAGAATAACTTGAACCCAGGAGATGAAGGTTGCAGTGAGCCGAGATCGAGCCACTGCACTCTAGCCTGGTGACAGAGTGAGACTCCATCTCAAAAAAAAAAAAAGAAAGAAAGAAAGAATGAATGACTCCTCCGCCTGTAAGAGGGGAACTGGGGAAGGAGAATGGGACTGCACAGTGGATTTAAAGAGGCTCACTGAATGACTGAATAAATGAATGAATGAAGCTGAAAATGGATGCCCAGAAAATGAAAAGTTGCCCTTGATGGATATTACAGCATAGATGAGTTGTTCTCAAAGTGTGGTCCCTAGACCAGCCACGTCAGTATCATCCGGGAACCTACTGGAAATGTACATGTTCTGGCCCTATACTAGACCTGCTGAATCAGAAGCTCTGGGGGCAGTGCCAAGGGAACTGTGGCTTAGTAAGCCCTCAAGGAGATTCTTTTTTTTTTTTTTTTTTTTTTTTTTGAGACGGAGTTTCACTCTTGTTGCCCAGACTGGACTGCAATGGTGTGATCTACAGCTCACTGCAACCTCTGCCTCCAGGGTTCAAGTGATTCTCTTGCCTCAGCCTCCTGAGTAGCTAAGATGAAATGCATGTGCCACCATTCCCAGCTAATTTTGTATTTTTTGTAGAGGTGGGGTTTCTGCATGTTGGTCAGGCTGGTCTGGAACTCCGGACCTCAGGTGATCCACCCACCTCGGCCTCCCAAAGTGCTGGGATTACCAGCTTGAGCTCTCACACCCAGCCAGCCCTCCAGGAGATTCTAATACAAGCTAATGTTAAAGAACAACCCTTTGGCTGCAGGACGGCACAGAGAAAAGAAGGGGCAGGACTATGTTCTTTGCTGGCACCAGCTCTCACCTGTGCATAATGGGCAGCACCCTTCAACTTTGGAGGGAATTGGGTGGGAACAAGCAGCTTCACACTTCACCTTTTCACAGGTCACCTCCCCATCCTAGAAGCACAAGCAGGAGTTACAGCCACTACAAGGCCCCAGACTCCAGACCAAGGAAGTTCCGGGGACCCCTAGTACCCACCTCGCACCAGCACTGGGAACACCCAGGCTCTATCCAGTGACTCCCTGATTCATGCATGGCTTCCAGGTGCCAGCAGGGAGAGGGCCCTGCTGCCAGCCGGGGGGCCTCAGGGCCCCTGGGTGAGGAAGAGGTCCCCATCACCTCCCCCTGAAAGAGTGAGGGGGGCCTAAGGTTCCCCAGCAAGGCGGCAGTAGGCACTGGGGTGGCCATCAGAGTGGACAGCAGCCACAAAGGGGCAGAAGGGGAGAATGTGGGTAGTGGTAGGGTGCGAGATGGCAGGCGGGTGGTCCTGACTCCGGCTGGGGGCCCTGGAGCCCCCGAAGATGGGGTATGTCCTGGGGACAGGGCAGGCCGGGCGGCCTCTGGAAGCAACAGGTGCATCTTGGGGGGCTGTTGCTGGGGCTGCAGGATGACAGATGAGGACAGCACGGCTTTCGGGAAAGCTGAAACAGAAGCATGGAGGTCTCTTGGGGTGGGCAGCAGAGCTGGGGTTTAGGAAGACCTGGGCTCAGCTCCACCACAAGTCCCTGTTCACCCTCGTGGTCTGCGCAACATTCTATGTTTACGGGCACACTATCGCTGTGCAGCAGCATGAACCACGGAAATAGCGGTCCCTGCAGTCCAGGTTACTCAGACTCCTGTTGGGTTTTTTTCTTTTATCACTTGGGGGAAAAAAAGGCTGGGGGAAAAAGCGATAATGAAGTGGAAAAGGAAAGTGAGGAAGAAAGTGGAGTGTTGTAAGTAACAAACAAGATGAACTGAAAACAAGAGAAAACAGAAAGAAGGGAGCCGGGTGGCAGGTGGGAGAGGCCGGGGCAGGGCGGGGCCACGTGCCGATAGGGCGTGGCTGGGTGCCGGGAGGGCGTGAATGGGGCGGGGCCATGCTCTAATGGGGCGGGGCCGGCGTTGAGAGGGCGTGGCCAGCTGCCGAGAAGGAGGGGCCTGGCGCTCACCTTCACAAGACACGCGGTCAGCCCGGAGCCTGAAGCCAGGTCGGCATGTGCATAGGAAGCTGCCCACGGTGTTGTGGCAGGAATGGTGACAGACTCGCCTCTCCGATGGCCTCCGACACTCGTTTACATCTGCAGGAGAGCCTCGCTGCGACAGCTGCTTTCTTGGGGCTACCGAGCCCTTCTTCCGCCCATCCCTTAGCTCAAACGACTTGGGGAGTTTCCCTACCATAGTTCTTATGGGGTCCGTTTCTGCCCCAAGGCGCAGGATGTGACTCAGACACCGGGGCTGAAATCTAGTGCTAGTCTCATTAATAGGTTCACACATTCAGCAGGCATTGAACGTATCAGTGACTCAGCCCCAGCACTATGCAGCAGTAATCAATTGCTGCCTGGTGGGGATAAGCCTAGTTGAGAATCTGATCTCCAAACCTTCCACCCTCCCGTTTTTCTTTCCGAAAAGCCTCAGAATTCACTGAGCTGCTCAAGGTAGGCTTCGGGACAAATACCTAACGCTGCTAAAACAAGATCTTTCTTCAGGCCCATGGGACCCCACCTTCAACCCATGAGCCAAGCTCAAGCCAAACATGCCAATCCCTTTCTGGAAATTTCTGCTAATGGGCTGAGAAAACAGAGGTCTCCTTCTAAACCAGAGGAACCAACACCAAGGGGAGCAAAGGCAGCCAACAAAATGGGTGAGCAGAGAGGAATCCTTGGGGTATATCTGGGAGAGGAGCAGAAGAGAAACATAACAGGATAAAAGTGGCACATGGCCAGGAAAAGTCCAAGACAGGGTCTTCATGCAGAGCCATGCCAACCCCAGGGACAGACAGGCTCTGAGCAAAGGCTCAAGCCCTTTCAGGCTCCAGAGGACGAGAAGGTCCAATTGCTGACCTTCCCGAGTCCCTGGGCTCCCTGTCCATCTTCCTGATTGGCAGCCAAAGTGTGCAGACCATAAGGTCCTCTCCGCCTTACCTACACAGGAGTGCTGGTTGCCATGGAGGTGGAAGCCTGTTAGACAGGAACACTTGTAGCTGCCAATGCTGTTTTTACATCTCTGCTGACAGGGAGTCCCTAGGCATTCATCAGTGTCTGGCAGGAAAAGGGACGAGACTGGGATTCATTTCCCCGACAGAGGTTTGGAAATATGTGGTCCCCTCTTCCTCCCTCATCTCCATCTCCTGTCCTGCACAGGGCTGGGGAACCACCTTAGCTGCCTCTCTTCTGCACTGCCAGCATGCAGTCCTAAATACTCGCTGGGCCAGCCCACTTCTCTCATCCTCACTGCTACCCCTTAGCTCGGTCACATACATCTCTAGTCTGGAGAATAGCCACAGCCTCTGGCGTGTCTCTCTATCTCTACCTGGGTTCCTTCAAGCCATCTCTGCACAGCCTCCAGGATGTTCTGACCAAAGGGCACTTCTAATCAGGGCGCTCCCTGTTCAAAACCTCTCCACTGCTCCCGCAGCCACAGACCTCATCTTAGGGTAAGACACCAAAGCCGCCCTGTAGCTCAGGACGCCTTCCAACATAGCCCTGGTTGCTTTGCCCACCCACTTTCTTGCCCCTGGCCTTCACTTGGCTTAAATTCTTTTTTGTTGTTGTTTTTTGAGATGGAATTTCTCTCTTTATACCCAGGCTGGAGTACAATGGCGCAATCTCAGCTCACTGCAACCTCCGTCTCCTGGGCTCAAGCAATTCTCCTGCCTCAGCCTCCCAAGTAGCTGGGATTGCAGGCATGCGCCACCACACCTGGCTAATTTTCTATTTTTAGTAGAGATGGGGTTTCACCATGTTGGTCAGGTTGGTCTCAAGCTCCTTACCTCAGGTGATCCACTCGCCTTGGCCTCCCAAATTGCTGGGATTATAGGCGTGAGCCACTGCACCTGGCCACAGGCTTAAATTCTTGCCATCTACCAAATACACCACACTCTTCTGGTGTTCCCCTTTTCCTATGTTCTCTGTCTGCCTGGAATGCCTTTTCCTCTTGTCTAGCTGGAAAACTCCTACTCATACTTCAAAACTCAGCTTCAGTCAAACCTCCTCTGTAGAAGTTCCCAGTGCTATTTGAAATTGTGAAAAACTGGAAATAATCACCATGTTCATCAATAAGAGAAGAGTTAGTAAACTGTGAAGTAGTTGCACTGCAGAGTCAGCAGTTAAAAGGAACAAGGCAGGTCTGTCTACCCTGATGTGGAAAGATCTTCAAGACCAGCATTGGGCGGGGGTGGGGGAAGCAAGCAAAGGAATGGCTAGGTTCAAATCCCAACTCGGGCTGGGCGCAGTGGCTCATTCCTGGAATCCCAGCCCTTTGGGGGGCAAAAGGGGAAGGATAGCTTAAGGCCAGGAATGTGAGACCAGCCTGGGCAATACAGCAAGAACCCATCTCTACAAAAACAACAACAACAAAAACTTAGTTCTAATGTGATCTTAAGCAAGTAACAATTTCCTTAAGCTTCAGCGTTCCCATCAATAAAATCGAGATAAATAATACCAACTTCACTAGGTAATTTTGAAGGCTAAAGGAGAAAATTCATGTAAAGTGCTTAACCCAGGATTCAGGAACAGAGAGTTCGGCAACTATCATATCTCTGTAAGCGCCCATGTATGTATGTACACATGGGGTCGGGCAGTCAGGGCACACAGCAGACCAATATCTGAGTGCTGTGGACCAAACTCTGTCCCCTCAAAAAGGGCGTTGAAGCCTTAACCACCAATGTAATGGCGTGTGGCGGTGGGGCCTTTGGAAAATAATTAGGGTTACATGAGGTCATGAGGGCGGGCCTTCTCGATGGGATTAGTACCCTTGTAAGAAGAGACATGAGAGGTCTCGTCAGTGGCTCATGCCTGTAATCCCAGCACTTTGGGAGGCCAAGGCAGGCAGAGCATTTGAGGTCAGGAGTTTGAGACCAGCCTGGTTAACATGGTGAAAGCCCCATCTCTACTAAAAATACAAACATTAGCTGGGTGTGATGGCACACACCTATAACCCTAGCTACTCGGGAGGGTGGGAGAATCGCTTGAACCCAGGAGGCGGAGGTTGCAGCGAACTGAAATTGCATCACTAAACTCCAGCCTGGGCAACACAGGGAGACTCCAAGCAAAGAGAAAAATATGTATATCAGAAAGCTCTGTCTCCACCAACTGAGGAAACAGCAAGATGACTCCCTTCTGCAAGCCAGCAAGAGCTCTCACCAGAAACTGAATTAGCTGGCACTTTAGTCTTGGACTTTGCAGCCTCCAGAGCTATGAGAATCAATGTCTGTGGTGCAGAACCCCAGAATTTTGTGATTGCAGCTCAAGCAGACTAAGACGCCTGGACTATTCTCCAGGGAGAGCAGAGGGCAGCACTGGGAGAGAGGGCCAGGGCGAGCACCTTGACTTTTAACATTTTTCTTATAACTTATGAAAATTTCAAACACAAAGAAAATAATAATGTAGGATTCAGGGGAGCTCACAATTATCTGCCTTGTGAGATTGTTTTCTTCCTGTAAATAAAAGGCATTTTAATTAAAAAAATAAAAATAAAAGGCATTTTGATAAAAAAAAAAAAATGCCTTTTAGGCCAGGCGCGGTGGCTCACGCCTGTAATCCCAGCACTTTGGGAGGCCGAGGCGGGTGCATCATGAGGTCAAGAGATCAAGACCATCCTGGTCAACATGGTGAAACCCCATCTCTACTAAAAATACAAAAAATTAGCTGGGCATGGTGGCGCGCGCCTGTAGTCCCAGCTACTCGGGAGACTGAGGCAGGAGAATTGCCTGAACCCAGGAGGCGGAGGTTGCGGTGAGCCGAGATCGCGCCATTGCACTCCAGCCTGGGTAACAAGAGCAAAACTCCGTCTCAAAAAAAAAAAAAAGCCTTTTATTTACAGGTTAAAAGAATGAGTAATAATTGTAAAAGATCTCTCATTCTGCAAACTGAATAGGTAGGATTCCTTCTCTTCCCTGAGCTTCCCCAACACGTCCCTTATCCTAGCCTTGTTCTTCTGTTCCCCACCAGACTTGGGGGATACTGCTCCCCAGGGTAGCTCAGAGCCTGGGCCAGCACTGGCAGGTAAAACTAATGAATGAAGTGAGTGAATGAACCCATCCCAGTATGCCCCTCCCATGGCCCCTCTGGACTCACAGCTTGAATCTCGCACAGCCCTCCCTCACCTCAGTGGCCTGCTTCCCCAGGTTGGTCGGCTTGCTCTGCCCTGGCTCTCCCCACGGCCTCTCCTCCATCGCCATCCCTTTTATCCCACAGCAGCAGCAGTAGGTTGTTTTCTGAGACGGAGTCTCACTCTGTCGCCCAGGCTGGAGTGCAGTGGCGAGATCTCGGCTCACTGCAACCTCCGCCTCCTTGGTTCAAGCAATTCTCCTGCCTCAGTCTCCCAAGCAGCTGGGACTACAGGCACCGGCCACCACACACTACGCATTTTTGTGTTTTTAGTACAGATGAGGTTTCATTATGTTGGCCAGGCTGGTCTCGAACTCCTGACCTCAGGTGATCCTCCCGCCTTGGCCTCCCAAAGTGCAGGGATTAGAGATGTGAGCCACCCCGCCGGGCCAGCTGCAGTCAGTCCCAACTGTTAGACATGACTCCATCTCTTACTAACAATTTGGCCTTGGGTACGCCTCAGTCTCCATATCGGTCAAACAGGAACCATAACAGCATCTCCTTCAGAAGACGGTGGTGAAGGTTCATTACAGTGGCGCACAGAGCACTGTGCTGGTCATGGCAGGGCCGAACGTTCAATGTGGCATCCCCATTACCCCTCCCGGAGCAGCCGTCCCCTCTCTGCAGCTCACCTTGGCAGCTGTGGCGGTCAGCAGACAGCTGCATGCCAGGCCCACACTCACACACATACCCGCCTTCCGTGTTCACACAGTGGCCCTCGCAAGAGGAGCTTACACATTCATCAATGTCTGGAAAGAGAGAAGGCAGGTGTTCTCACAGTGGTCCTTGAACAGGAGCTTACACATTCATCAATGTCTGGGAAAGAAAGCATCCAGGTCAGTCGCAGTGGCTCACACCTATAATCCCAGGACTTTGGGAGGCCGAGGCAGGTGGATCACCTGAGGTCAGGAGTTTGAGACCAGCCTGACCAACATGGTGAAACCCCATCTCTACTAAAAAAAAAAAAAAAACAAAATTAGCCGGGCCTGGTGGTGTGTGCCTGTAATCCCAGCTACTCGGGAGGCTGAGGCAGAATTGCTTGAACCTGGGAGGCAGAGTTTGCGATGGGCTGAGATCGCGCCATTGGAGTCCAGCCTGGGCAACAAGAATGAAACTCCATCTCAGAAAGAGAAAGAAGGGAAGGAAGGGAAGGAAGGGAAGGGGAGGGAAGGGGAGAGAAGCGGAGGGAATGGGAGGGAATGGGAGGGGAGGGAAGGGGAGGGAAGGGGAGGGAAGGGGAGGGGAGGGAAGGGGAGGGGAGGGGAGGGGAGGGGGAAAGAGAGAAGGAAAGAAAGAAAACACCCTGGCACGACCCTGTCTGAGCATGGCTGTGACTCAGGAACAAATCAACCCCACAAGAACCCTGAGCCCACACCAAGCCTGCCCTCCACAGTGTGGAATCCCCAGCTGCACTCCAGAAAGAGCAGACACCAGGAAGGTCACTGGCTGTGAGGAAACCACCAGAAGAGTCCAAGGGACTGGGGCCCCCTTTAACCCATGAAGTCCAGACGATGAGAGAAGACAGCTGAGACACAACTGTTTCCAAAGGCCCTGATAGCAGGGCAACCCCAAAGGGCCCTCAAAAGGGCAGAGGGCAGTGGATAGGGAGGTTGGGCGCCGTGGCTCAAGCCTGTAATCCCATACTTTAGGAGGCCGAGGCAGGCAGATCACCTGAGGTCAGGAGTTTGAGACCAGCCTGGACAACATGGTGAGACCCTGTCTCTGCTAAAAATACAAAAATTAGCTGAGTGTGGTGGCGCGCGCCTGTAATTCTAGCTGCTCGGGAGGCTGAGGCAGGAGAACGGCTTGAACCCGGGAGGCAGAGGTTGCGGTGAGCCGAGATCGCGCCACTGCGCTCCAGCCTGGGTGACAGAGCGAGACCCAGTCTCAAAAAAGTAAAATAAAAATAAAATAATCAACAGAGTCATTCTTTTAAAGGTTCATTAAGCACCAGCTGTGTGCAGCAGACCCAGAGCAGGGCTGTCGAGGACACAGATGTGACTGAGACACGGTGCTAACTCCAGATGTTCATGGACTGATAACACAGGAGCCAAGACCCACACCCAGGGGAGACCAGTGCCTGCTGGGGTGATATATGCCCCACCAGGGACAGACCGGCCCCAGCAGGCATGCCCTGGAATAGGCAGTGGCTGAGAGGACCAGGACTCTCAGCGGAGAGCCTTCCCAGGTGGAGAAAGGGTCTGAGGTGCTTCCAGGGAACGGCTGGGCTCCTTGGGGACTAGACTGAGGCCCAGACTGGCTGAAGCTTCGGTTCCTTCCGGGCAGCAGGAGACGGGGCTAAAGATGTGGATTAAGATGAGACTAAGGCTGGGTGAGGTGGTTCACGAGGTCAGGAGATCGAGACCATCCTGGCCAACATGGTGAAACCCCACCTCTACCAAAAGACAAAAATTAGCTGGGCGTGGTGGCACATGCCTATAATCCCGGCTACTCGGGAGGCTGAGGTAGGAGAATCGCTTGAATCAGGGAGGCGGAGGTTGCAGTGAGCCAAGATCGCGCCATTGCACTCCAGCCGGGGAAGAGTGCCAGATTCCATCTCAAAAAAAAAAAAAAGATGAAACTAAGTTGCAGTGACTGGATCCAAGAAGGATCCAAGTAGTGCTTTAGGAAGGCGAGCCTAGTGAGATCTGAGGGGCGATGGGAGCTGGGAGACACCTCCCCAAATCCTGCTGCCTGGCCTCCCTTCTCCGCCAAAGATCCATCCTTCCTTCTGAGGACCTTTGGGCGCAGCTCAGTCTACTCCAGTCTGCACTCACTGCGTAGTGGGTCTTCCCACTGTGGCCCCCAAGCCACAGTGGGACACCTCTACTCTCCTTATCCCCTACTTAGCCTTCTACCCAGCACCTACCCACTCTTCCCAAGAGCTGGACAGTCAAGACTATGCTCAGTGCCACTAGGAAGCCCACCCTGACTAACTCCTTTCCACTGGGATGTCTCATGGCTACGGTCAGTGCCACCCTGTCCTGCAAGTGCTTTGACATTGTTCTCTGGCCTCTCCTTGGTTCCGTTTGCCTCTGCAATGAGAAGTATGTGCAGAAAGTATCCCAAGGTGAAAGGCATTCAGGAGGAGATCAATGGCTTCCATTGCTTCTCCTTTCTGGAGATGCTGCACCAAGCAACAAGCTCCCAGACACCTTTAGTGAGACCCTCCGACTCAATAGTGTCCTTCTGGGAAATAATCAGAGACGCTGACAGGAAGCCTGTCTTCTTTATGGCAGCATTATTTCTAGTGGTGAAACACTGCAGACCTCTTAAATAAGGGACAACAGACAAATAGTTATTTCAATTACAGCAGCCACATATGTAACTGCTAAAAAAAAAAATTTTGTTTTTGTTTGAGACAGAGTCTTGCCCTGTCACCCAGGCTGGAGTGCAGTGGCATGATCTCAGCTCACTGCAGCCTCCACCTCCTGGGTTCATGCAATTCTACCTCAGCCTCCTGAGTAGCTTGGATTACAGGCATGCACTGTCACACAAGCTAGTTTTTGTATTTTTAGTAGAGACAGTTTCACCATGTTGGCCAGGCGGGTCTCAAACTCATGAGCTCAAGTAATCCACCCGCCTCAGCCTCCGAAAGTGCTGGGATTACAGGCATGAGCCACCACGCCTGGCAAAAATAAAACAAAATAAAATAAATGTTGCAAGGAATTGTTAGCGACGTTTACGATATAAATTTAGATGGGAAAAAATAATAACTACAGATAAGATATAATCCCAATTTTATAAAGCATACATCTATGCATGCCTGACATACGTACATACTCACAAACACATACACACCCAGGGAAAAAGGGAGGAAAACAACTTCATTTTGGTAACGAAGATGTCCGGGTGGGGACTTCCAGAGAATGTTTCCTTTCTTTCTTTCTTTTTTTTTTTTTTTTGAGACCGAGTTTCGCTCTTGTTACCCAGGCTGGAGTGCAATGGCGCGATCTCGGCTCACCGCAGCCTCCGCCTCCTGGGTTCAGGCAATTCTCCTGCCTCAGCCTCCTGAGTAGCTGGGATTACAGGCACATGCCATCACGCCCAGCTAATTTTTTGTATTTTTAGTAGAGACGGGGTTTCACCATGTTGACCAGGATGGTCTCGATCTCTTGACCTCGTGATCCACCCGCCTCAGCCTCCCAAAGTGCTGGGATTACAGGTGTGAGCCACTGCGACTGGCCTGAGAATGTTTATTTTCATCTTTCTCCTCTTACTTTCCAAATGTTCTACAGTGAACTATCTCTTGGTTTTCTATTCAGGGGGATAAATATTATTTTTACAAAATTAAAACTCCAGAAAGGCTTTTGTCACTCTGGAAAGATTGGCAAGAAATTGGTCACAGTGGCTGCTTCTGGGGAAGGTAACAGATTTTGTCTGTGGAAACCTTTTAAAAATCACAAACAGGCCAGGTGTGATGGCTCATACCTGTAATCCCAAGATTTTGAGAGGCTGAGGCAGGTGGATCACGAAGTCAGGAGTTCAAGAGCAGCCTGGACAGGATGCTGAACCCCCTCTCTACTAAAAATACAAAAATTAGCCAGGTGTGGTGGTGGGCACCTGTAGTCCCAGTTACTCAGGAGGCTGAGGTAGGAGAATCGCTTGCATCCAGGTGGCAGAGGTTGCAGTCAGCCAAGATTGTGCCACTGCACTCCAGCCTGGGCAACAAAGCAAGACTCTGCCTCAAAAAAAAAAAAAAAAAAAATCACAATACGTTCACAAAACAATTATTGAGTTTAGCTTCCCTCATCATTCAAATGTCATTTTCCCAAGGAGCCTCCCCTGGCCAACCCTCCCGATTCTGGGTGCCCTGCCCCTCTCTGGGCCCTGGCACCTTGCCCTTCCCAGTTAAGGTCCCTATGACAATTGGGCTATTCTTGTCCTGTTACTTGTTACCCTTCCTCATATTCAGAACTCCCTAACAGGGGCTGGGTGAGGTGGCTCACGCCTGTAATCCCAGCACTTTGGGAAGCGGAGGTGGGTGGATTACCTGAGATCAGGAGTTCAAGACTACCCTGGCCACCACAGCAAAAGCCCATCTCTACTAAAATAAAAAAATTAGTCAGGTATGGTGGCATGCGCCTATAATCCCAGAGGCTGAGGCAGGAAAATTGCTGGAACCCAGGAGTTGGAGGTTGCAGTGAGCCAAGATCCTGCCACTTCACTCCAGCCTGGGCAAAAGAGCGAAACTCCATCTCAAAAAAAAACAAACAAAAAAACCTCCCTAACAGGAGCTGACTGTGGCTCCCGTAACCCCAGTCCCTAGCTCAGTTCCTGCCCGTAAGAGGTGCTCAATATATATTTGTGAAATAACAAAAGTGACACATTTCTTTTGTTTTCGTGTCTCTCTGCCCGCTCTCAAACATCAGAGCCTGTCTCAGCTCAGCTCAGCTCTTGCAATACACTGGAGACCATCCTGGCAGGATGGGGAGGAGACCAAATTCCCGCTCTCCCCCTCCCCCACCACTCCCAGGCGTCTCACCTGTACACCTGACGCCAACAGCCGTCTCTGTCATCAAGAAGCCCACGGGGCACACTCGGGCCACCTCCTGACAGCCACCATGGTTGCAGATAAGGTCACAGCCATACTCCCCACAGGGTCCGTGACTTTCTAGAACAGGCATCGCAGCAGTGAGCACGTGCCTCGTGCAGTCCCAGCCACCCCCACCTCACCAGCGTGCTCCTGAAATCTGTTGGGTGGGTAGCTCTGAAGGCAAACAGGCCTGGGTTTAAATCCAGCTCTGCCATTTACCAGCTGTGTGGCCCTGGGCAAGGCCATTACTTCTGCGTCTCAGTTTCCTCATCTATAAAATAGGCACACAATGTCTACCTAAAAGAGTTGTCTGAAGACGAGATGCCAGGACACATCTCCGATGCCTATTGCCCAGCACATAACCTCGATGCTGATTCATCTGTTCCCAGCAGCCACCGCCCATCCCCAGTTACCTGGGCAGGTGACCCCTTGCTCTCCATCCTGGCAGGAGCACACGTTGGGAGCGATGCAGATGCCACTCCCGCAGCCAAAGGAGCAGAGGGCTGAGAGGAGAAATGCAGGTGAGACACGAGGGACTGGGGCCCCCCGTCTGCCCCTTGGACCAGGGCCTGAGGGCTGGCAACACACACTGCTGGAGGAGAAGGCTTGGGGCCCAAGGACAAGCACTTACGCACGGTGCAGTGCCCAGTACCCATAGAGGGCGCCCAGCCAGGGCAGCAGCCACTCCCGAACCCAGAGAGGCAGACGTGGGGGCCCAGCCGGTGTCTGCAAGAGAAGAGAGAGCACTTTCCTCATTCTATACTGGGGGAGACATTGCCTCAACAGGAAAGTCCCAGCCAGACTGTAAGTCAGTCAACAACCAGTTCTAGAGAACTGTCTGGAGGGACAATGAGAAGTTTCCAAAGAAAAATGACCCAGACAGTCTCTCCTGGAGGCAAGACAGAGACAAAAGTGTGAGATAACAGATTCTGGCCTCCTACAGACTGTCTGCCACATGAGCACACAGCAGAGTGGCTGGAAGAGGGGCCTCAGAGCTGAAGAAAGGCTGAGCAATGGATGAGGAGCCCCAGGGGTAGCTGCCTCAGGGCCTTTGCACTGCAGTTCTTTCTATTAATAAAGTTTCTTGGCCGGGCGCGGTGGCTCAAGCCTGTAATCCCAGCACTTTGGGAGGCCGAGGCGGGTGGATCACAAGGTCGGGAGATCGAGACCATCCTGGTCAACATGGTGAAACCCCGTCTCTACTAAAAATACAAAAAATTAGCTGGGCATGGTAGTGCGTGCCTGTAATCCCAGCTACTCAGGAGGCTGAGGCAGGAGAATTGCCTGAACCCAGGAGGCGGAGGTTGCGGTGAGCCGAGATCGTGCCATTGCACTCCAGCCTGGGTAACAAGAGCGAAACTCCGTCTCAAAAAAAAATAAAAATAAATAAAAATAAAGTTTCTTATGGTCAGGTGTAGTGGCTCATGCCTATAATCCCAGCACTTTGAGAGGCCAGGGCAGGCTAATCACTTTCAGCCCAGGAGTTCGAGACCAGCCTGGGCAACATGGTGAAACCTCATCTCTACTAAAAACAAAAAGAGGCCAGGCGTGGTAGCTCACACCTGTAATTCCAATACTTTGGGAGGTCAAGGTGGGCAAATCACAAGGTCAGGAGTTCAAGACCAGCCTGGACAACATGGTGAAACACCGTCTCTACTGCCAGGCGTGGTGGTGTGTGCCCGTAATCCCAGCTACTCAGGAGGCTGAGGCAGGAGAATCGCTTGGACCTGGGAGGTGGAGGCTGCAGTGAGCCAAGATCCTGCCACTGCACTCCAGCCTGGGTAACAGAGTGAGACTCTGTCTAAAAAAAAAAAAAGAGCAAACAAAAAAAAAAAACCACAAAGACTAGCTGGGCATGGTGACTCGCACGCCTGTAGGCTCAGCTTCTCAGAAAGCTGAGGTGGGAGGATGGCTTGAGCCCAGGAAACAGAGGTTGCAGTGAGCCACATTGGTGCCGCTACATTCCAGCCTAGATGACACAGCCAAACCGTCTCAAAAAAAAAAAAAAAAAAAAAAGGAAAAGGTCAAAGAAAGATTCTTCCTCAGACACACACTGGGCTCCCTTTCTCCCTTCACCCAGGTCTCTGCCCACAACACCTTCTCAGAGAGGCCTTCCTTGTTCACCCTAACCTTGCTTTATTCTTCTCTACAGCTTTTACTTCCTGGGACATGAGATGAGTTTTTAATTTATTAATTCATTGTCTCCCCTACAACTCCCTGATGACAAGGGTTTCTTATCTATTCACCCCAGCACATAGAGCGGTGCCTGGCATATAGTAGGTGCTCAATAAATGGCTGCTGAGGGAGAAGTTGAGACAGTCACTGGCATAGGTAATATATCTGGGGTGGGTGTGGGGTCATCAGTGAGCTGCCCAAAACTGGAGGTAGTGGGGGGTCTGTTCAACCAAGAATGAGGTCCAGAAAGGGCGAGAAGCCAGATGCATCCAACTGGTGCTGGGTTCTGAGTGAGGCATGACCGAACAGCTATAAACAAGCTGCTGCCTCCATCTTCAAGGAACGTAGGGCAGACCAGGAGCCAGGTGACAACAGCATAGAGTGACAAGTGCCACAACCGGAAGGGCTATGGAGCCCTGAGGAGTGTCAGGGGGTTTCCTGGAGGGGCAGCATCTAGGCTGAGGTGAGAGAGAAAACTTTGGGAGGCCAAGGCAGGCGGATCACTTGAAGTCAAGAGTTTAAGATCAGCCTGTCCAACACGGCAAAACCTGGTCTCCACTAAAAAAAAAAAAAAAAAAAAAAAAAAAAAAAAGGTCAGGTGTGGTGGCACATGCCTATAGTCTCAGCTTCTTAAGAGGCTGAGGCATGAGAATCACTTGAACCCAGAAGGCAGAGGCTGCAGTGAACCAAGATCGTGCCACTGCACTCCAGCCTGGGTGACAGAGTAAGATTCTATCTCAAAAAAAAAAAAAAAAAAAAAAAAATAGGTCAGTCAGCAAAAGAAGAGGAAGGAAGAGAAGAGGGTGCTCCAGCAGGGGGAACAGCACAACCGCAGGCCTGGAGGGGTACAGAGGACTACTGCAGCCAGCTCCAGTCACGGACCGGGCAGAGGGTGATGAAATCCAGGCTGGTTTGAGCTTCGAACCCCACTGCAACAGAAAAGAAACAACGAATCCCTTCTCAGCGGTGGTCCACCTGCGTTCAGAGCTGAGGGATGATGACTCCGCCAGGCAGGCACCTTTGTAGAGCACCCACTCTGCCACTCTGCGCTGGGCACCGCACCAGGCACTGGGGACATGGGACAAGGCAAACTTATCATGTTCTTGGGGAGAAGAATCTGTGTCAAATGCGACAAGTTTTCCGGAAAGGGAAGCTCAGGGCGCCACGGCAGCACAGAAACGTCTGAGGAAAGCTGTCCCTGGGGACTTTTTCCCTCTCTGAGGTCATCACAGAAGAGGGGGACCTCCTGCTGGCGGGAGCTGGCAGCGAAGTCTCACCCACCCCCTTGCTGGAGTGATTATGGCAGCAGTCCGAGAAGGAGTGAACCCAAAGAATGAGCGGAGCCTTGGGACTCTCAGAAAAGGACAGGCAGTGCCACCAAGGCGGCAGATAAAAGGGTGCCCAGCGAGGCTGGTGGAGTCAAACTCTGAAGTGGGCAAGGGCCGAGCACCCGCCAGAGCGCCCCAAGGAGCCTCCTAGGGCTGGTTGTGACCGAGAGACAAGGTGGCGGGACCCTGTGGAACGCCGCGAGCCGGGGCGGTATCCGAGCAGGAACTGGCGGTGGCTGTGGAACACACGTGCGAGCTGCAAGCCTGGCCCAGCCGCCCCCACCGCGCGCCCCCGGAGGACGTGGCCAAGGGCCAGGCCGCCCGCTGACACGGTGTTCCCTTGCTCCGAGCATCGTGCACACAAGCGCACGGGCAGCAGCGGCTGAGGGAAAAGCACGTGCGGAGGGCGGCATCCAACGCGAAAGACTGCGCAGGAGCAGGCACCCCACCCCCACCTGCGCGCACGCACGGACAGAAAAAGAAAGGTGACCCAGAGACCCCAGCGGTTCCAAAGTCCACGACGTTCGTAGGGCCAGGGCCCAGGGAAAACCCCGACCCTTAGGGCGGCAGGCGCGGCGGTGGAGGCCTGGCGCTGCCCAGGCAGAGTCACGGGCACGCTGAGGGGCCAGCCAGTCAGTCCGGAGACCAGAAGACACGTCCCGGGCTCCCCTCTCCAGGGGTCCGCGCTCCAGGGCACATTAGGAGTCAACCAGCGCCTGGACCTCTGTTCCCCCAGGTTCCAGCAGGGACAGACCCAGCCAGGTGCGCACTATGGGCACCCGCCGAGAAGCACAGTTGCTGCCTCTTTGGCCCGTCGCAGAGCTGCCCCCGCGCGGATAGCACCCCAGAGGAAGCCCGGACCCGCAGCTGCCTGCGGCTTCTGGGCGCCTCTCCGCGCCTCTCGGCTGCACACCGGTAGCGCTCCCGAGGGGCGAGGGCGGCGGGGGAAAAAGCGCGGGGCGCTTACCTCTCGGCCGCAAAGTGCCCGGGCGGCTTCCTCCCAGTGTAGCCTCCGGCCGGGGGTCCGGGCAGCAGGAGCGCGACACAGGCGGCCCGAAGGAGCAGTCCGGCCCACATCATCGGCGGCTGCAGGTCCCCGGGGCTGGGCTCGGCTCCCGCGCCGCGTGCCGGGGAGGGGGCTGCAGGCCCTAGCCCCTCCTCCTGGCGCCGCAGGGAGGTAACCAACTATCCCCGAACTGGCACGCGGAGCTAAGCAGGGGGGCTGAGGACGCCGAGAGGAGGGGCCGGGGGCCGCGAGGGGACGCGGCGGACGGCTGTGGGGAGGGCCTCCAGTACCTCGAGGCGAAACACACAAAGGCAATGCCGCTCGCCCGGTGTGCCTCTCAGAGAGGCACGGAGTCCCGGGCGGGGGCAAAGATCAGGGACCCCCCTAGAGGCGGGGTTTCGCGCTTGGCTCACACCCCCTGCCCGGGTTTGGGAGTCGGCTTCCTGCTAAGCGCTGACTGAGGGCATCTGACCGAGGCCCCAGGAGGAAACAGATTTCGAGAACAAGGCTAGCGCCAAAGGCTGCGCGCCCCAGGCATGGCCCCTCTCGGTGGGACCCGCCTTGTTGTCACGAGGTGGGAACCGTGGAAATCCGAACCCTGGACGCCGGGTCGCTGCGCCGCTAGGCAGTTCCAGGCCTGCCCCCGGCCTGCCAGCAAGTCTCACCCTAACGCCCCAGTGCGTTGAAGGATCTGTGTGTCCAACCGCTCCCTAGCCGGGGGCACTAGCTGCTCTTGAAGTCCCGGGCTCCTTTGGGCACCCATGGGGCAGAGGGCCGGCCTCCCGGCTACTGGTGGCGAAGCGAGGAAGCAGCTGGCGCCATTGGCAGTGGAGAGGCAGAAACAGATCTGGAAGGCCCCTCTTTGCCCCTTCTGCAGCTGCCCCAGGCTGCAGTCAGACTGGGGGGGCTGCGGAGGGATTTAGGCAAGGAAGGGGCGTGGAAAGGGGTGCGTGGAAATCAGAATGATCCCGCTGGGAGAAAACTGAAAGGATAACTGATTTTACCGTCTGCTCTGTGCAGTAATCTTTCCCTTAGCCACCCACAATTAGTCAAGATTTTGCATAAATACTTCCAGGGGTAAGAAACTATCTGTTAATAAGTGGTCCGATCCAGTTTTGAACCACATTTGTTTGAAAGTGCCTTCACTTCCCAGCTGAACAATCCCAGTTCCTTTGGTTCTGCCACTACCTTTGGCCTCCTGCTTCCTCAGCCTGTTACTGAGCTGCTTAAATTGGTGGCCACAAATGACATGGCATACCAGCAGTGGCCTGGACTCACACCTCCTTCCTACAAACATTGTACTTTCACTAATGCACTCTAATATTACTTTTTTTATCAACCTAATGATGTTGTTAATGATGACACACTGAGTACGCAGTAAAGAAAAACCGCAAGCATTTTTTGTTATGCTTTTATGTTATTTAAACACAAGCAGCCAGGCGGGTCTCCCTGAAGCTGTGTGGCTACATTTTGGCGGACGTTCACCTTGAGGCTGTATTTCACCTTGTTCGTTTTGGCCTTTTTTTCTTTTTTTAAATTGCATTTTAGGTTTGGGGGTACATGTGAAGAACATGCAAGACGTTGCACAGGTACACACATGGCAGTGTGATTCGCTGCCTTCCTCCCCTTCACCCATATCTGCTGTTTCACCCCATGCTCTCTCTCCCCAAATCCCCACCCCGTCATTGGCCCATTTTTTTTAAATTTAAATTTAAATTTTTTTTTATTGCATTTTAGGTTTTGGGGTACATGTGAAGAACATGCAAGATTGCTGCATAGGTACACACAAGGCAGTGTGGTTTTCTGCCTTCCGTCCCCTCGCCTGTATCTGTCATTTTTCCCCATGCTATCTCTTCCTACCTTCCCACCCCCCATCCCTCCCCCATTGGCCCATTTTTTAATCCACTCTGTACGGTCTAGCTCTGCAGGGTCCCATGAGTCCCTCTCTGCAGGTTTGGAGATGAGAAACTGTGGAAATAAAAGACACAAGACACAGAGATAGAGAAAAGAGAGTTTGGGCCCAGGGGTCTACTGCTACCAAATCACAGAGACCAGCAGTGGCCCCGAGTGCCTGGACGCCCTGACTTTTATTGAGTACAAAGCAGGGGGCATGCTAGGTAGGATGAGGTAATGGTGGCCAGTGACAGGGTCAAGGAAATCACATGTCTTGGAGACAGGGGCCCAAGACTCTGAAGAAGCCAAGGCAAGGAGAAAACCTAAGGCGTCAGCACTTTTCTCATACTTGTCAAGAAAGAATAAGGTCACTAAGATTTATGTTACTAATTCTTATCTTCTAAGAAAAAGAGGAACCAGGTGCAGAAGCAGAACTTGAAAGCAGACATGGAACGTGACCGCTGAAGCACAGCACCGCACAGAGACTATTAAGTCCCCAGATGTCTGTGGGTTTCCCTGACGGCCGTCAAGCTGACAACAAGAGCCGTCAGGCTTACTCCACTTGGGAGAGTGGCGTTTTCTCCTCACTCCCCCGAGGAAGGAGACGTCTCGGCCATCTTGGACATTTCCTTCCCTAGCTGGCTCAACAGCAGGCACTTTCAGAGCGCTGACACTGTCACACAGCCAAGGCGTCCTCCAGCAGCCCTTGTGCGGGCGTGACAGACGACTTAGAGCATCTTGCCTTAGGGTCACCTCTTCCCCAATGCCACTTCAGTCCCATACTTCCTGAGACTTATTAGTAAGATTAAAGATCATATGATTATATAGATGTACATATTTGATTACATGTGAATAGCTATGTGATTATGATTTTTTATATAGGAATAACTATGTAACTGTATCTCTAATGCTGAGGCTTCAGACTCCTGCCCCAGCTCTTGTGGGGTTTACCTCCCACACTAGTCAACCTATTCTTAACAAGTAGGTTGCCAAAATATCCTGTAACATGAGATGAACGTGACTTCGTCACATCCATTCTAAGTCCCAAGGACCCTCAGAATCCTAAGACATACTTCTCTTTTGCCCCAAACATCTGAAGGTTGCACTTTCCCTGTCCACCACCACTAAACCACCGATGTCAAATAGATGCTCTTTCTTCCTGGCCCTAGGGCAGCTACCCAAAATTTTCAACAGGTGTACACTGGACAAGTGTCCACATGGCTGTCATATTTCATGCCATCTTCTCACATACTCCAGCACACCTCAGCTACCTCTGTTCTTAGCTACATTATGGAGGCCCACCTGCTCCACCTTACCCTATAAAACTGACTCTCCAGCAGAGTTTGCCTCATACTGGCCAATGAGCAGCCAAGAAATCCTGTATCTACCCAACAGAATTCAGGATACTTAGTACATAGATTCCAGTTCCCATTAGTGAATCTCCAAACAAGTTCTACACTGCCCTTGGCCTTTCGTTGATTTCCCCATAATTTCTGTGACCTTATGGCATTCACCTTTCGCCTATCAACATTTGCTCCTTTAGTTTGGTTTGGTTTTTGTTTTTCTTGTCTTTTTGTTTGACCCTGAGGCTTCTCAGTTTGGACACGGAGCCTCTAACTTCATGTTGTTCAAGGACTAGTTTGGGCATACCCCTTGATTGCAGTTTCTGTGTTTCTTCCCCACTTCTGTGGCTTGTGGTTTCTCAGTAACAAAAGGGACCCTCCACCCTTGGTGGAGGATCCAAGCTGCTGTTTGCAGAATGACCAGCCTCTGGCTTGGGATCCCCCTAAATGGTCGTGTGATGAGTCAGTGTTTCTATTATTCTCCCAAAGATCCCTTCCCGCAGAGACCTGGAGCGATGCTAGCTCATCAGCACCTACAAGGAATGAAGCTGTTTCAATTGGCTACAGCCATGCTCCAAAGACAACCTTTCACCCCCAGAGAGGTGATTAATGGTTTTTAAGAGGTGATGTGGGAATATGGCAACAGAATATCAGTTTCCAAAGTTGGAATTCAACCCCAAGTGAATATACACAAGAGTATACAAAACAAAAAACGGCAGGAAACAAAGGACTCCACAAGCTTCCAAATTTAAGACTGAAGTCACTGATAACCTTTGTATCAACAGCAGGTCTCAGCCGCTAGTCAGGCCACTACAGGGCACCAGAATGAGAATCCCAACATATTCTGTCTTTCTGATCATGACATCTTATAGCTGGTGCTCCCATCTAGGATTAAATTTTTTAAATAATCACAATCCGGAGACTGCTGCTTGCCTGCCTCATTAAAGCTGGCCTCTGGCAGGGGGGCAGGTCTTTTCAAATTCAAACCATGACTTTTAGAATTCAAATCAGTGTTGGGTTTCCACTTCAAACTGTGGTTTTTGAGATGCTGATTATCTGTCAGACCTCTCAGAAGAGTAAAGTGGGATAAAAGGGTAATAAAACATTCTTCAGGGAAGGAAACTTCCTCCAGAAGGCCCTCACACCAGGAATGCTTCTTTGCTCTTTTTAAGCTAGAATCTCTCAAAATCACAATTTGAACTTGTAACCACAATTTTCCTGACACTCTATCAAAGGCTGGTCTTAAAGGAGCCACCAATATGCCTAGGATCAACCCTACTCCACCCTGGGGACAGAGCAGCCTTTCTTCCCACTGGATCACTAGGAGAAATGTGGGCCCAGACACTGGCCCACCAAGCTGAAAGACGAGCTTTGTTTGCCAGACAGAAGAGTGAACTCCGTGTATGTCCTACTCTTGCTGTATTCTCAAACCAAAACCAACAAACAGTCACTTGATTAGATCAGAGGAAATGAGGGCATGTGGCAAAAAGCAGCTGGGAGATCCATGAGTTACCAGGTGGCCTGGGGGCTAGGTGACTGGATACTGCACACAAGAGCTGGCTATAAAACCAGGAAAGGAAGCCCAGGCAACCCCCAGGCCCAGCAGGTTACAGGCAGAGGCAACTAAGAATTAAATGGCGTCAAGGGCAACCAAAAAGACCAGTGAATTTCTAAACTCTGCCCATCATCCTTGGGATCCCATCAAAAACAATCACACGATCAAGAAGAGGTACAGGTATCTTCACTTTCACTACTTGAGTTCTTCTAACAGCAAGGGCAAGTGAATGCAAAACCTACTATAAAGGGAAGGATACTGCCTAAGTTCACAGTAAATTAGGAATAGTATACCTGGGGTGCTGGATAGCTGGGCAGGGGAAAACAAAAACAAAAACAAATGTACTTTTCTTCTTAGATTCTACTTTATTTGGTAAAACTCAGAAACTAACAATTCACATCCTCCCACCTCCTTCTTTCCGAAGAAGGCAGTCTGCAGAGACAAAAGGGCTGTGGCATGGGGACCATCCACCATCTCCAGGTTTTATACAGGGGCTGCCATGATCTGGCAGCCAGGCCTCTAGGGCTGATGCTCTCAGAGGAAACAGAAGAAAAGTAAAAGGAAGGTCTCACACTTCATAAACAATGAAACCCTCCCAATCCTCTTCCCCACTACCCACAACTCCCTACAATGCCAATCTAAATAAAAGATAGAGGACAATGCGTGTG